GATCTCTTATGTGCCTTGGCCTGCTGGCTTTGCAAGGGCCATTCAGTGGACTAGCAGCGGCAGTAGTTCCCCCATCCCCCGGCAGGCTTAGTTTAAAGCCCAGTGGAGCAGTTCAGCCAGTCTAGCTGAAAAGAGCCTCTTCCCCAACAGAGAGAGGTGGTGGCCGTCCCTTCCGAACAGCTCGCTGCCTCTCTCTCCAAAGAGTGGACTGTTGTCATGGAAGCCAAAGCCTTCCTGATGACACCAGCACCGCAGTCTTTGGTTGACTATGTGGATCCTCCTCTCCCGCCTCAGCCCATAGCCCGAGACTGGGAGGATCAAAGAAAACACCACCTGTGCCCCAGACCCTTTAGCCCCGCACCCAAATCCCTGAAGTGCCTCATGACCCAGCTAGGAGCACTCCAAGCCATGTCAATGGTGCCCACATGGATGAGGAGCATGGGATAGCGATCTGTGGGCTGGAGGAGTTTAGGGATCTTCTCCGCAATGTCCCAGATGCGGGCCCCTGGGAAGCAGCAGACTTCCCGGGCTAAGGGGTCGGGGCAGCAGATTGCCCCCTCAGTCACCCTTAGGATGGAGTCTCCCACGACACCAGGCCTACTCCCTTAGCACAAGAGATTCATTTTCAAGCCTTTGCAGTAGTTACTACGGCAAGCATAAAGGCTACTGTGTTTTTTGGATAAAGCCAAATTCTGTTCTTTTGAGTTGCTGAATGGCTGAAGAAACCTGAATAAAAGAAACAGCTACCTCTTTCAGTCTAAGAACCATGAAGTCCTAGTGCAGAAGTGCTGGTCTGCACATAACATGCAGCACCAAGCCCAAAATTGAGTTTATTTTTCACCTTCAGCTTTTCTGGAAACAACCACCTCCCTTCTGTAACCTGCTTTGGGAGAGGGAAAACTTATTATTATAACAAAGGGTATTTAATTTCTCCCCTTTGACTTCTGAGTGGCTGAACTGACAGTCCTGCTGGCTGAAATGTTCTCCTCTTCCATTGAATTGGAACTGCTGTAAAACTCAATCAATATGAAGAGATTGCACATGCGTGTTACTTTTTTAAGCACAGATCATGTGCCTGGCACTGTACAAGGACAAAATATAGGCAACATGCCTTATACACCTTACTAGAGGATGATACAGCCTACATTGGTTCTGACAAGTGCCAGTTGTGGTGTTTATTGTACATTTCTCCCTAGGAGTTGGCCTGAACCCACCAATTTGTTTCCTAAAGACCGTTCAAGAGCCATAAATGGTAATTATAACATCATCCCAGGCTAAATTTGAAACAGAAAACTACCAATTACAATCAAATCAGCTCAACAGTTTCTCCTTTATTAAACCTACTTTGGTGTTTTCTTTGCAAGGGTATATTCCTTCTGAAGCAAAAATAAAGTTTGACTAACACTTACATTTGAACCAAATACTTGCCTATTAGATTCAAAGGTCTTTACCCTCACTTTTGACTATTATCATTTAGTGTGTCAGCATAATGTACTACCACAACAAAGACAAAATAAGTTGCTTATATTTAAAGTCTCCAAAAGTTTGATCTGTCAGTTTTATGTTTTGTTTCCACAGAGATATAAGAGAAATGAAAAACCTTTTAAGTAAACTCAGGGAGACTATGCCTTTACCATTGAAAAATCAAGGTGAGTGGTGTTTTTCTGACCTGTGATGTAAATTAAGTTATATAAGAGTTTGAGCTTAGCGTATAATCAGAGAATCAAAACTGTTTTCTTGCAGATGTTCTAAAAAAATGTTCTGGGGGAATTCATGGCTATAATGAATTCAGTGGGAGCTTTCTCAAACTTCAGTAGGGCTGTGATTTTACACTAAGTTAAAACTACTGTACTTTGAAAATTTAGAGCTTTTATACTTCTACTAAATTGATCTGTATGAGAGGGAGGATGTGACAAGACACCCAACTAATTGTGCCTAGTCCCTATGACAAAAGTGAAGGTATATACCCTACTGGCTCCAGCTGCATAGTAAGATTTTCTACTCCACAAGCACATGCATAATCAATGGAACAATTGTAGCTCAAGGTTAGTGAGGCAACTGCCCTATTCAGGTATATGTGCCCTGAAGCTAGCAGCTTTGACCATAATTTGTTTTCCCATCAAAATAAAGTATGGCTGGATCCTGCACAGATGCACTGTCATACATGTATAGGAACAAAGTATTCTTTTGCATTAAAAGGAAACTTGGTTTCATTGTGGTTAAGAGTATGATGGAAAAAGTTTATTCCTCATAACACATATTATATTAGTATTTCCATAATGCTGAATAATGCCATGTACACTGACAAAAGATGAAGCATACAAAAGTTATATTGGGACTTCATCCCAAGTAGCTAACAGTTTAGTGGTACAGCCCTCAAAGCAGAGTACAACACACACACAATACTCCTAAAGCTTTAGGGAAGGGGGTTGCAAAATATTTGGAAGGAGATGGAGAAGATAGCTTAAGGTTATTTATTATGTATTTATTTATTAGATTTATATGCCAACTTTCCAAAAAAAAAGGACTCAGTGGCTTGCACACAAAAAAATTATAGAAGTAGAACCAAATTAAGGTACAAAGCATACCTCCCCACTCAAATTCAAAAGCAATCCACCGTACCCAGTCTCTTTCTCTCCCTCCCCTTCGAGACCCAAGCAGCCCTGGCCATTTGAAACACCTACCAAGAATACCTTGAACAGCAGCTTTACACCTTGCCCTTCCCAGATCCAGATGCACAGGCATGCCAGTATATTGAATGTTGCACCTGGTTCCCTTAATGGAAGACCCAGCCCTGAGCTGGTGTCCTAGGATCCATATACAGTTCAGGAAGAGATGGGAATTTCTTCAAACAGAGGGAATTGGATCCAGGTCACCCACATCCTGGTTGAGAGTCTAACCACTGAGCTGTGATACAGAAAGGGCACTACCAGCATTCCCTCCAACCTTGTAAAGGAAGGCAATGGTTGCCATCACATTTTGTGCAGAGATGTGCTAAGACAGAGCTTCTGATAGAGCCCTCAAATGTGATAGATATGGTAAATCCCAACAGAGTTTAGGCCTGAATTGTTTAACACTGTCAATACTGAAGCACTACTTGGTGCACTCAGAAAAAAAACACCTTTAAGTGACTCAGAAATTCAAGAAATATGGAATTTAGATGTTAAATATGGAGGTTTCCAGAGTTAGGCAGTAACTAAGCAGGGATTGCAAGTATCTGTATTTTTAACTTAGGTGCTTATATCTTTGTGGTTTCAGTCCCCATTACTTGTCAGTTTGAGAGATGATAATCTAAGATCACTCTTGAAACCAGATTTCTAGATGAAGCATTATTTTTTTTCTAAGATCAGATGGAATTTTGTTCATATTTAGCATGCATTTACTACTGTAGTTGGGTTTTTTTCCCATAGCTCTGAGGCCAACAATGAGACAGATTTCATGTATTTTTATCTGATTTTAACAGATATAAACACTAGCCCTTATGAAGTAAAAAACATAATTATAAATTATCCAAATATACTAAGTATCAGAAAACTGAAATTTCACATTTAGAGAATTATAGCAGGAATCTGGCAATTTAGTTGATTTTCTAATTAGTAATTTGAAATTCAGTTGAGATTGTTTTGGGTGATACTGTGATTTGTAATTAACGTAACAGCAAGAGAGTCTCTACCTCCTGAAATTAGTTAACTAAAGTAAACTATTACTAAAAGGACATCATGTATGTCATGCATCTCTAGGCTCTTATTTTATGTTACAGTGACCATGTCTGCATGAGCAGCAGACTGCAGATTTGTCATTTATGCAAATACTAAATGACTGTGTAGTAACCCAGCATTACTGCTTAGTACTGTTGCCACATTTTTTTCTGATGCTACTGCACAGTAGAATTACATCACAGTTAGTGCCCTGCAATGCTACTGCACCATAGCATCTTATGTAGATGCACCTAGTAGTGTCTAGGGACCTCTTTCAGCATTAGATCCATATTGCATTGCATAAATGTGCCCTAAAACTTTCACTGCCGTGCCAAGATGAACTGCCCATCAGCCACTTTTATTGCCAATGGGAACAGCGCCCACTGATGATGTCATTAAGAATCACCACCCAGTTGATTTAAAAGCTGGTGGCAGGGAAATGGAGGAAAGGGCAGCATCACCACTGGAGGCAGAAGGCTGCTCCCTGGGCTGCACATGGGCAGTGTCAGCAGTTCAGGAAGTATACTGGCAGGGACCCGACAGAGGCATCCAGGATTTATTGAACAAGGCAACACGCTGGTCTGGCGGGGTGGCTGGACTAAAGAGGATGCTGTTGAGGTACCTTGGAGCCATAGATGCCAGACCCGTGAGGGGGGCGAGCTGAAGCCCCGTGCCGCAACTGTTCCTTTTTCTTTCTTTCTTCTTAAATTGTTTTGCGTTTCTCAGGGCCCTGAAGCAGGGAGAAGGGGCCAAGGGCAGCCTCCATAGGCCAGAAGGAGCCGGGATGGCACAGCAGGTGACAGTATAACAAGGGAAGACCCGGCATTTTGACCAGGTTGGTCCGAGGTCCCGTGGGCAGCTCGCACTGAAAGAGGCCAGGTGATGAGCGAGGAGAAAGAGGCAGGCGAAGACATCAGAAGGGCGAGCCGACAGTCCAACAGCTGGCCGTCCTGAGGGTTGGCGCATATCTGGGGTGTAGGGGAGGTGGAGCCCCAAGAACGCCCACTGAGGGTAGTGCCTGGTCTACAAGGAGCGACAAGGAGCCCCAACACTGAAGAAAAAAACCAAATCATGGCAGGCGAGTATTGGGGCCTCCTTTGGGGTGAACATGACCCAACATCAAAGCTGCTGGAACACACCCTGCATCCGGCGCCAGGTGCACGCTCCAAAGCAGCAAGAGTGTGCCTCCACAAGGCCAGACAGGTGCAAAGTTGTGCATTGGCTGGGAACCTTCAAAGGGCCCTGCCAAAAGTCAACAATGTCACTATGCAGCCAGCAGCAATGGCCCCTCCTGATGTCCTCAGCCAGAACCTGCAGGCTCTTACCCAAATAATAGACACAAAGCAACAGACTGGCAATAAGATTGGCCGTGCCACAGTCTATCTGCTTTCAAGATGCCCAAAATGACCCGGGACAATGACTCAGAAGCATACATCGAAGCATTCAAGCGACACGCTCTTATGACTGGATTGGATAAAGGGTATTGGGCCAGCCATCTGGGGGCACTCATCATAGGTAAAGCACAGGCAGCATACCAGGCCCTAGCCCAAGACAAAGCTAGGAATTATGAACGGGTTAAGGCCTCCATTTTATATAGGCTCAAGATCAACCCAGAGTGCTACCGGAAGCAGTTCCGGGCTAAGAAGGCCCCTGAGGAGAAACAGCCCCAGATCCTGATGCAATTGCTTCGAGTTCTGAATAAGTGGGTGAGCCCAGCCACCTACAACCAAGATGCACTGGCTGACCAAGTACTCCTGGAACAATTCCAGAATGACTTAGATGAACACACCCAACAATGGGCCCGCCAGCACTCGCCGGCCAAATGTGAAGAGGCCTTAAGATTAGCAGAAGCTTCCACGGCATCCAAGATGGTGTACACCTGGGAGAAACCGGTGCTGAGCCCAGGGAGCACTCATCCATGCAAGGCTGAGAAGAGGCTAAACCCTATCAGGAGCAGACCAAGGGAGATGGTCTGCTTCCGGTGTGGGAGAACAGAGCACTTTTCACAAGAGCGCCCAAGCAGCCCCACAGAACACTGGAGGCCCAACAGTTCCCCAAAAGGGCAGACAGATGAAAGGAAATGGACATCAGCGAGCCGATGGAGGGAGACAGCGCCATATGGAGCCATCCCATCAGGAGAGTGTGGATGGAGCACCACCCCATCAAGGCCACGCTGGACTCGGGGTATGCTCAGTCATTAGTGCAGGCTGATCTTATCCCACTCCAAACAGGTAGCAGAGCAACGCCAGTGAGGATGGCCTGCTTCCATGGTGAGATGGAAAGGGTCAAACACTGGTGGATCCAACTTTGAGTCATGGAACATCAAGGGGATCTGTTAGTTGGAGTGGCCCCACACCTGGTGTGTAATATGTTGCTGGGGTGTGATTGGACCCTGATTTATGATGTCCTAGAAAGGGTGAGGATGGTGAGACCAGACATCGACAGCTCAGAGATCACAATGGGTGGCTCGGGGAGTTTGAAGACAGTGGGGAGTCAGCCGAAGACACAGAGGAAGTGGACCTGTGTGATGTGGTCAGTGGCCTGCAGTTTAGAGAAGCATAAGAAGAAAATGAGGAACTCTGAACAATCCAGGCTCAAGTCCTCAAAACAAGGAGTGACCAGCTGGAGACCACTGCCAGAGCCTTGCAGTATGAGATAAGGGACCAGCTGCTTTACTGGGTCCAGAGAGGCCGCCAGGTGGGGCAGGAGGAAGCCCAGTTGGTAGTGCCCACGCAGTTCTGTCAGCTAGTATGGTGGTTGGCCCACGTGAACCCCACTGGAGGGCACCTGGGTTAGGACAAAACTATAGCCAGGGTGGCCCACTGTTTTTTTTGGAAGGGACTTGGGGAAGATATTGCCTGCCAGTGTGCGGTGTGCCCACAATGCCAGAGGATGCGGGAGGAACACCCAGCTCGAGCCCCGCTCCAGCCCTTACCCATTATCAGTGTACC